GGGGGGCTTGGGTGACATTTGCATCTGCCAGTGCTCTCCTGTGAGGTCTGGAAGGCAAGAGGGACACCAAGAAATTCCCCTTCCAGCGGCTATGGCTGTGGCTCTTGGTGGCCAGGTGAACACCAAGGCCTGTCACCAGGCCGGGCCTCCAGCAGGGGCACTGGGATGCTGCTCGCTCTTGGGTGCGGGGTCTTCACCTCTGGGAGGCAGCAGCAAGCTGCTGAGCTCTGGATTGCACCTGCAGGGAGGGGTGCTAACCTGACAGCGCAAGGCAGATACACTAATGGTTGCTCCGCTAGCCTTACCAACAACTTTTGAGGACCTAACTCCAGTTATCACATCCTCAAGTTGTTCTGATTTTTCTTTAATGAAGCCTGACTGAGACAGTGTATCATACCAAAACTGGTTCCAGACCTTCAGAGATGGGAATCTCTTATTGGTTAATTGACCTGGTTGGGTGTGCACATAGTGATAACCTTATTGTAATGTAAAATAGATTCTCCCTTCATTACATGACATGTAGTAGTTAACAGTTACTGAAACAACACCTCTGACTGCCTAAAATTAAGGGCCTATGGAAGAGAAGAATTTAGGAGAACAAGTTGGCTATTGCTGTGGGATAGAAGAGAGAAGGGTACTATGAGGGGTGTCAGCTACTTCTGACTGCAATGGAGACCATAAAGGAAGAAAATGACAAGCTCAGGAACTCTCAGTCTTGGATAAAGGCATGGGCAGAGCCCCAGAGGACTTCTAGGACTCTTTCCCTTGCAGCCACATATTGATAAAGCCAAAAGTCAGACCTAAGGGCTGTTGCTGCAGGTGACAAATTTATAATGCAAGATGAATCCAAACTTTCCTACAATAGGTTAAGGCCTTTATTGTAAAGAGTAGGTCCTGAGATTGGGAAGGGGGCATTTTGGAGGATTTGAGTGAACGCAGGACTTTAAACCCCAAATCCTCCTGAGGTTTCCTCGCCAAGAAGTAAGTTTCTCCTTCCCTGTCTGTCCTTCCTCTCTTGTTAGCAGGCTATGACTCCCCCAGCAGCAAATACCTAGTAAGAGGCTGCCAAATTCTTAAATCCCAACCAGATGATTACTAGCTGCATCCAGACCTTGACTGATACAACACCCTTTGCAGTTAAAAGAAAGAGAGCTGTTTTGTTTGGAGTTTCCCTGCAATGTGCATAGAAGTTTATTTTGAATAGACTTAAGACTAAGGTAGAATGGTGGAAGAATATGGTTGCTAAGTTGCACATGTGCTATGCCAGTAAAGATGGACCTCTCGTAAGATGCTAAGGCCGATCCTTTTAATAAATCAGCAACATACTTTAAATATGGCAAATTTTGCCATAATATTAACACAGTTACATAAAAATGATAAAAATAAAAATGATTATTTGCTGATTTCATAGGGACACTAGAACTCTGAATTTACAAATATAAAGAACACAGTGCTGCAGGCACGGAGGTAAAGCAGAACAAAAACCAGTCTGTGATCGCTGTTCCTGGCACCTCCTATTAATGGAGAGAAGGGATATTGGGGGGTCCAGTGCCATTATGTATGAGAAAGAGATTCTATGCAAACTGAAAGAGCATGAAGGGGAGACAGTTGAGGAGGGAAGGCCTTGGCTGGGTAGAGGGGAAACTTGGAAATTGCTGCCCTGGCACCCATCTCTCAGCCTGTGATGGCCCCCTGCTCTATTTTACTGCTCTCTGGTGTCCTCGTCCAATCAGACTGTTGCCAAGTGAAATAGTGACTGTTTTTCCTTTATTTGCCAACTTCAGAAACATCTAGAATAATAGTTGTAATCACTATTACTATAATAATGATGTTAATTTTATTGCATTTACTGACCACATGCCAGGCACTGAAGTATGAAGTGCTTCCCAGGTATTAGTCCACTTAGTCCCCACAGCAATCCTATGAATGAGTTATACTGTTATAACCCCAACAAAAGATTTATAAAATCCGAACTTGTGAGAAGTTAAGTTACTAGCTACAAATCATACAGGTAGTTAACGATGGAACTGAGACTCAAACCTAGGCCTTTCTTGCTTCAAAACTCAAGAATTTAACCACTATAATACCTGACGTCCTTCTGCCACATGTAGCCTTATGTCCCATATTTTATCCATTAAATCTCTCTTAAATTCATCCCCCTTTCTCACCACCATTACTCTAATATTGAAAGCTATATCTTTCTAAAGGATTACTGTAGCAGCCTCCTGACAGATCCATCTTTACTCATTTTGGCACCACTTCTAAACTGTTTTCCACATTATAGCCAAAGGGAAAGTGTCAAAACATAAATCTAATCATGTTGCACCACCTACTGAAAACACGTCAGTGGCTTCGTGTAAAGACACATCACTTCAGGCAGGTTTTTAAGGCCTGCACAGTCTGCCTTTCTCTCAGTTTGAGCCTCATGGGGCCCATTTTTCCCTGAACCTCCTTTCCCCTCTGCTTTCTTTTCTGCAGCCACATCACTTCCTCAGTTCCTCAAAGGCACCATGTACTTTTCTTCCATAGTTTTGCCCATGCCGTTCCCTCTGTCTGGAATGCTCTTCCAGACCTTGCCGTACTCCTCTTTCACCTAGTTAACGCCATTCCTCCGCAGATCACGGTTAAGATGTCACTTCCTAGCAGTCTTTCTGATCTCTAAACTAACCTATTCCCTACATGGAAAACTCTCATTAATGTCTGCCTTTTCTTAGAGGTTGGGGTTTATAATTACTGTATGGTTCTTTGTTGACTGTCTATCTTCCTGATCACACTCTAAGGTCTGTGAAAGTAGGATCCAGATCAGCTTTTGTTTACCATTGTACCCCAGTGCTTAGGACCACACAGGTAGATGTTCAAGGAATAGCTGTTGCATAAACAGAGCTACAACACACATCCCCAGGAAGTGTGTAAAGACAAGCCTTTTCCAGAAGTCTATAATGTGCTTAGTCCTTCTGTGGAGGATAAAGATGAGTTGAGAAGGCAGTTCAGCTCATCAGGCAACCAATGCAAGACAGACAGCCTAGGCACCTGCCTGCCTGCCTGGACCTGGGAGAACAGCGGGCAGGCCTATAAAAGGAGTTTCAGCTGGTGGGGGGCAATGTTTCAGGCTCACGGCTTAAGTGACTCACATCTCAAGTTAGTCAATCTAAGGAAGCAACTGCATAACACATGGACCGTCGAATTCGTACAACACCTTCCTATCTCATCCTCAAAAGTCTTCAAGATGACTTGTTTATATGAGGGTGGAGATTGAGAGAGAGAACTGAGTGGCAGGTGTGGAAGTTCAGATCCCAGTCCGGTAGCCTCCCAGAAAGAAGGTACTGTGTGGAATGACGAGACTCTGGTGAGTTGTCTCCGCAAGGAGCTCTGGGAATTCACAGTGAGCATCACCTTTAGGCAGAGGCAGGATATGCACTGAGAGTGATTCTGAATACTGCCCTCTCTAGGCCCAACTTCCATGTGTAAAAAATTCTGCAATTAGAGATTCATTCTTTGGGCTCCAAAATGAATTTGGGCTCCACAAGGAAAGATAACACAGATTGGCTTACCAGATTCCTTTCAGATATTGTTATTTTGATGACATCCAGAAGAGAATTTGAAGAAAATGCACAGCTAAATAGTGAAGGATGTGTGGCAAATGAGGGAAGGGCAGGAGGCCGAGAAACTTCACTCTATAAGCCACTCCTTTGATTCAGCATATTTAGAGAATAGAAAACTTTTTTTGTTCAGATTGGAAATTCAAGGGAGTAATTATTATTTCCAAGGTTGTTGCAACATAGCTTCCATTATTTCAGCTGCCTTAATCCTGTTGGACTTGGACTTGGGTGTTGGTGAAGAGAGACTGTGTTTGACTTTGCTTGGAAACTGTGAAACCACAACAAAATTAATTCTCCCAATGCTACTAGGCAACACCAGGATGTCTTCTACACCAGGAGAGGGACTTGAGTTGCAGGCTCAAATGGCTCCTCCAAGTGTCACATGCGTTCAGTGCGTCTGAAGAAACTGAAGGTGGTTGCTTTTTCAGCATCATAATGAATAACCAAGAATAAATATGATTGCGATGTCAAGTGCCTCCTCAGGAAATCTAATCTTTATTTTAAAAAAACGGTAACAAAGACCTATAGTCTGACGAGCTTCCCTCAAATTATTTGCTATACTGATTTGACAGCCACAAGGTCAGCTGTTAAGATCTTTTCAAAAGTTGATTTAAAAGGAGCCAGCGGAATGTCCTCGCTGAACCGCATCACTTCCTTCCTGGGACCATCGGGGAACCTCCCCGGCCTTTCAAGATAGGTTCTGCTCAGAAAGGTCAACCGGCCAGTGGGAACACCAGGCAAAAGTTAGCGGCTAGCGGGCTAGTGCAGCTGATCTTCTTTCTGGCACTCTGCTCCTCCTCGCCTGGGAGGTGGATCCCGCGGGAGGGCTTACGGAGAGGTTGGATGGCAGCACGGTTTTGCAGCTGCGGAGAAGCGCCCGAGGCCGTGCACCTCCTGGAGGTAGGGGAAATTCGGCAGAGCCTGCAGGCCCCCGCCCCCGAGTTTCCAGGGAGCAGCGCACCCCAGCGCTGGCCGGGAAGGGGCGTGGCGGCGCAGGGGTAGTGCTGGGACCCTGCCCCGGGCCCGAATCCACCTCGGCCCCCTTCCCCTCGGAAAGGATTGGTAGTGCGGGGGGGCGGGGTAGAGCAGGGGGAGGCCTAAAACCCCAGAGTGCACCGGAGGTGGACCGGATCGCAGAGGGAGGGCAGAGTCGCCCAGCAGCCGGGCGCAGGAGTGAGCGGCGTGCGAGCGGCCGGGAGAGCGCGGCTGCGGATCGGTAGCCGGCTGGCTGCCCGCCCCGCACGGTGCGCTCCGTGACCGGGGCGGCCCGGCTCCCGCAGCTCTGCAGCCGCGCCCGAGCTCCATAGACCCGGCCGGCGGGGACCGCGCACGCTCGCGACCGGTGGCCCGCTGGCTTTGCTACCTGGCACCTGAACGAGTCCGAGACGGCGAAGGTAACAGGAAAGAGGGAGAACGCGGGGGCAAGCCGAACAGATTGCAATCACGTTGGAAGCAAGTTTGTACTTGCACGCTCCGGTCGTGCGTGCTTAATGGGAGGGGGCCAGTGGTGATAGTGGCGGTGGTGTGGCTACGTGTGAGATACTCTTGGATGAGGAGATAAGGAGATAGGGAGCGTCCTCCTTGCATCTCGTACGTAGGTATACCCATTAATATCCCCCTCTCTGAGTTGTCATTTCCGCTTATGGCACATCTCGTGGGCTCCAGTGGTGCACAAGCAAAAGACAGCCTCCCTGTTGTGATGGTCGGTACCGTCGCTACTATCTGATGGGAGATGTAGGGCGTTGAACACATTCTAGGAGCCTCCCTTCCTCCTCCCCCGACTATTTTAGGAAAGGCTGGGGGAGGGGAAATGGATCGCACAGCCCCGGGCCTGAAGTCGGCGCGGAGGCCGGGCCTCAGGCTGCTGGAGCTGTCACCCTGCAGTTGCTTCGCGGCGGAGCCTACGCTAGAGGGCCAGATAACTTTGAGCTCCTCTCCAGAAGACACCTTGCAAATAGGGATTTTGCATTGCTGCCGGAGGGTGCTGTGACGTGGTCGTTCACAGGACGGCAGGTGCTTGGCTAAGGGCAGGAAAGTAGTGCAAAATAAAGCAGCTATCAGCCGCAATGCAAAGAAAGCCCGCTGGGAAACTGCGTTTGGTGTGCTGCCTGGGATAACTGAGCTTGGAGGCTGCAAGTTCAGGCCCTCTTCCTTAAATAGAGTCAGGTCCAGTCCAGGGAGAAACATCAGCAATGGAACCGGCCTTAGCATCCTGGAATGTTGATTTCTGAGCTTTTCAGTTTGGGATGGAGAACCTGTATGTATCTGAATTTTTTCTGTGATCCTTGAAGTTCGAAAAGAATTATTTTTGTCTTCTTGAGTGTCTATTTTTGTCTTCAACTGAGAGTCACTTTTCTAAGGAAAGCATTCGAATACAGAAGCCAAACTTAGGCAAGAGAAAGTGTAATAATTTTCAGTTAAGCAATGAGTATTAATATGACCCACATCTGCATAAAATGCTGATTTGATCATTAGTCTTGAAGATTATTCTTTGAGAGCTTTGCTATTCCCATTATAAAAAAAAGATCAGCAGTATGAAAGAAAAGTTCCTGATATCACTAGAACAGTGTCTTAAAACACATAGCTATTTTTTTCTTGTGTTTTTGAGTCTGTTCATTACTTTGTGGCAAATTTAGAACAAAATGTGTCAGATTTCATTGCTAACTTAGTATGTTTCATGCTGAAGATAAAAGTGCATCTTCAGACTGACTCAGATAATGATATTACTAGTCTTTGAAAATATTTGTTCAACTATTACATTATAGACTTATTTTTAACTTTATTAAGTATTGATTTTTCACAAACTGGTTTATTTCTGTCCTCATTCTCACCATGTAAGAATGCCTTTCACTTGATTCCTTCCTGGAAGGGAATAGGGGTTGGGAAAAGATAGTTTACCATTTAAAAATTTTCAAGAATGGTCTGTGTTAAATGTCGAGGGTTCTATACTAGCACCTGCTCTCTGAGAATTATGCAGTGCATACAGCTTCTTGGAAATGAAAAGAGGTGTCATTGAAACAGGATGCCAGAAGCCTATGGCCCGGCTAGATCGGTAACATATTCTTGGTTCCAGCTCTCAATACTGCAGCCACACCCCGTGGCCTGAACTTGACAGGCACACAGGATCCAAGATTCTCCCATGAGGAAATCTGCATTTCTCTTCCTCTTAAATGTATTAAGTGTGTCTTTCCAGTGGTCTAATCTGATGAGAACTGTTTGACAATGAGTAAAATATGCTAGTAAAGTATGGAAGGAAGGTAGAGGGCATCTCTGGGCCTGAGTAATACTCCAAGCTTATAAAAAAATTGTTGAATCATGATACTTAATATCTTTCATGCTGATCACCTCTGAACTTTGTCTTTTGATTACTTATGGACATTTTTTGTTCTTCTAGGGAAAGGATTAATTCTTATTTGTTACTCTGTATAAGTCATAATAGTGAATAATTAACTATTTACTCATAGCCTGTTCATATACATTAGTAATATATTTATATTAACTCCAGGGTGTCCTTTTTCTTTTCTACCCTTTATTAATTAGTACCATTGCTAAAGGGTGATAGAGAAAAACAATAATTACGTTTAAAATTAGACACTTGTGTGACTCACTCCAGTAAAGGACTTAGATAGAAGGGTGCTGAAATATATTTATTAGCTTTTTTGTTTAATAGTGGATTTCAACAGGAGTGCTAACCTTGTACATAGACATCTAATTAAGAAATATCCATACCGATACAGCTATAAATCTATTTTACGGTCTCAGTTCATCTTTTTCAGTTAGAAATGAACTGCATTATCTCTGATTGTTGCTGGGTTTGGAATTTTCTGCTCTGGTTTCTGAATACCTAAAATTGAGCTGCATTGCATTAAGATATATTCTTGTGGCCTAGTAGTGTTCTAGTGTTTTCCCTAATGTAGTCCATTTTAGGAGCACAAACAAGGAACTGCTTTAGTATCCAGTTGCCCATTCTGCTTAGAGACTGGAAGAGTCAAGTTGTGATGATTCCTCCTGTACTTTTCACAGGTGCTGGTGTTACAAAGAGCATGTTGTCCAGGTAGGAGAATCCCAGATACAGTCTAAATTCTCTCTGCATCCTGCAGTGTAATTGCAGCCGATGGTTATGGATTAGGTCTTCAGTGTGCTCCCACTGTACCCGGCCTTTCTCCACTCTAACACTCACCTTCCTTTGTTATAATAACGTATCATCTCCCCCTCTGATGTATAAGCTCTAAGAGTGACCTGCCTTGTTCACTGCTATTGACTCTGTACCATTGTCCTTTACAAATAGTTTCTCAATACATTTTTGCTGTGTGAAAGAATGAATACTGGAATCATTCTTCTCTGCTAGGTATGGTGATTACTTAGCTTCAGGGTAATCTTAGTTCCTTCCCCAGGAGATGGTTAGAGTATGAATTGGTACCCAACCCATCAACGCCTACTGATTCTGATACTGACTTCCATCCACATACTGATTGCTCTGCCCCCTCCTGCCCCTCAATATCTTGCACCTATTAAAAATTTTTCGTTACCCTAGGAACAGTGAGCTCATTGACAGAGCTGGACCTTCCTCTAATGTTCTGGGTCTGTAGGTCATGCCCACAATCGGAACACTGCTTGCCAATCACTTAGTTCTAGGACTGAATTTCAAGATCTCATGACCTTGTACCAGTAGTGGTTTCAGCTGTCCCTTGTACTGCCATTGTTTTGGAACTGGAGAGCACACTTGGGGCACCTCTCATTCTTGGCCCATCTCTCACATTGCAGGTGGAGAAACTGAGGCCAGGGGAAAGAAATGAAAACCAGTTATTTGCTAAAACCCTGCTATGTACCAAACAATCTTCTAGGATATTATATAGTATTGAGCTTTTAAGTTTAAATTTATGCAGGGTAAAATTAATTCAGGATAAAATTGCTTTATTTTACAGCTGAAGAAACAAGCATTCAGAAAAGTTCACTTTTCTTAAGGTCACATGGACAGTAAGAGTCAGAATGAAGACTGAGCTCTAAATCTTTTTTAGTCCACGGTGGGCACATTTCCATCATGCGCACAGTTGTTGAGGATCTCCATACACAGAACCAGCTCACAATCACCCAACTAGTTGGAACAAAGCTAAGCCTAGAATTCATATCTTCTAATTCTCAGTCTTCCCTTACTATCTTTGTTTTATTTATTTGAAATTTCTTATCAAATCATATGTCCCTTTAAATGAAAGTACCAGTAAAAAGCAAGAATATCATAATTTCAGAAAAGAGGAATTATGCATATACATGAGTGATGAAAGCAAAATATTTTATCTTATGTCTAAAAAAGGAAGGATATTGCACCAACTTCTTTTGCAGTGGGCTTCCTGGGGGTTGTCTTGGAGGTAAAGTATTATGAACTTGAGTCAATAAAACAAAAATATGTACTGAGCATCTAGAATATACTCAGGGACATACTTGGTATCAATGGGTGGGATGTCAAAACAGTAAGAGTTACAGTGTCTATGTCTGCAAAATGTTCATTGTCTAGTTATAATGTGATAGGACTGAAAATGCTGATGAATATAAGACAAATCATACATACAATAGAATGGACTGTTAGTGCTGGAGGAATTAAGGGAAAATAATGCTAATGTGTGCTGGAGTGTTTAGCGATGGCTTCAAGCCAGTGTGGGGCCGGGGCCAGGTATTTAGTGACCCTTTGGATTTGTTCATCTGAAAGTGCCCCATGGTTCAGCAAGGATGCAGGGGTCTGCAGTGAGGAGCATTACACAGCCCCTCTGCCGCTGAGCTCAGTTGATGTCAGCATAGACCACAAAATCTTGTCACAATTCTACAAGTCATCCGAGATACCCTAACAAACCACCTCCCACTTGCTATCTCCCTTCCCCAACCAATCACCAAAATCCTGCACATTTTGCCTCTGAACACTTTTTCAGATTTAACCCTCTATTCTCTGTCCTGTTTCAGCCTCTCATCGTCTCCCTCCTTGGACTCCAGAGGAACCTTTCTAACTGATCTTCCTGGATCTTCCAGTCTTGTCTCCCTCAAACATACCCTTAGAAATGGTAGCTAGAATAATCTAAATTGTATGTTGTCACTTCCAGCTTCAGATCTCTCAGAGGTTTCCTGCTGCGTCCCGGAGAATCAGGCTGCAGCGTCTGAGCAGAGCACACGGGGCCCCCGACCATCTGGCTGCTGCCTTCCTCCTCTGCCTCAGCTCCAGAATGTCACTAGAATGGTCTGTCACTGCCTACCTCTTGGAAGCTCCTCACAGAATCATGCTGTTCCTTGTGTCCCTATCTTAGCTCATGCTATTCAGTCTGGCTAGAATGCATCTTTCTTATTTTTCTTCTGATTCACTCAAACTCATTTACCAAAACTCAGCTCAGGGGATAGTGCCTTCTCTTCCAGAGCCTTCATATTGGATTGGGACCCATCCTTTGTATCTCTCATCTCTATATTTACATGGTATTGTGATATTATCTTTCCAATATCATATCTCCCACTATGTTCTAAGCTCCTCAGAAAATAGATCCTATGTCATATTTGCATCAGTACCCCCAGCATTGAGCTCTGACACTCAGAATGCATTTGTCATACTGTAGAAGACTGGATACATCAGTTAAAGTTGGATACAAGTGGAGAAATTCTTAAGTTTAATGGGGTATCAAAAGATGGAGAGTGACAGAGGTTTCAGGATTAATCTACTGTGTAACGTGAATGTGAATTAGAAGATGGGAGCTTGGTAATACAGTGATTTATAGATATCCTTTTAATTCCATAATTCTTGATTTATCGTGGGAGTCATTTCTTTAGCATCTATGAAACCCAGTGCTGAGCAGGGCCTGGTTTGGGGTAGCTAAATTAAACTGATGTCTCCCATCATCTCTCCAGCCATACGTAATTACTTCTCCTTTGAGAACCCCTTGCCGAGCCACTCACCGAGAGGTACCTGTCTAGCCCAGAAGCTGCCAAGTGCTGGGTCCTATTTCTAGTAAATATCCTTTGAAGTAGCAAGAGAACTCTTCCTCTGGCTTCTTAGCAATTAATGCTGTTCACTGCACTGCTGCTCCGAATTGCTACGTGACCAGTACACCCTTTATTGTTCCAGTGCACATTTTTGATGCTTTTTTACGCAGGGCAGCAGCAATGTGCAATGTTTTGCATCCCTCTCAAGATGGTAGTCTTAAGAAAGATATTATCAGCTTTGTGTTCATGATGACTGACCAGATACTAACATATGTTTGTGTTAATGCCATTTTAAAATCGACTGTGGTTTGTAAATACCCTCTGTTTCTTAACCAGTCCTTCATAAATACTGTGTCTATGGCCGTGCATACAAGTTATTTTTGTATAGCACTCATAGACATCTCTTCTTTCCTTTTCATCAGGTGGGCCATCCCATGTGTATATGATGTGTTTTCTTTACAGTTTTGCTTTGCCATCACCCCCACCCCCCACCTGTTCCTTTTCTTTACCTCCATCCTCATAACCCAGAAGGGCAGTGGGAATTGTAATAAATATCATTCTCGCACAAGCCTGCTAAGCTCAGCCTCTTGGTGAGGGTTCTTTATTTGAGTACATTTTTCACTCTTCTTTTATTTCTGTCATTAATTATCTTACTGGTGGCAAGACATTTCAGCCAACCCTAGCATTAGGAAATCCTTGTTCAAAGTAAATGTCTCAATGTCCAGATTTCATCAACAACCCTCCTACCTCTTTTTCTCCTCCCCCCAGCCAGAATGATGAATTACACTTGTCCAAAGCAGAGAATTTAGGATGGGATTAGAAAAAATATCCTCTCTGCTTAGCCCACCCTTACCCTGGTCTTACAACTTATTTTACCATTTTTCTTATGGGGAGGAAAGATGCTCAATCAAACCCATTTTTACTTCTAAAACTAGAATATTTGAAACTGACATTTTTAGAATGAAATAGTTTTACATTTATACTGTTTTAAGTCATCAAATTCTTTTTATAAGCTAAGATTGTATCTTACTCCTGGAGAGTGTATAAATAAAACAGAGCAACCCACGTGTGCAAAGCAGGCTAACACAGCAGAGATCAGAGAACCTGTAAATATGGAGAAATATAGAATTCAGTGTTTTGAGTACAAGTACTTCCACTTTTACAGATGAATGAACAAAGTTTGTTTCAAAAGAAAAAATGGAATGAGTGGACATTTCTTCTTTTATACAAATACAATTTTAGTGTATGTATTTATTTTATCATATAGGAGAATTCCCAGCATTTGCCTAGTACTTTATAAGTATTTTACTGTAGCTATTTCACTTGGTAATAAATCATCTGTACCAGTTGAATAAAAATAGTTCTCCTTCTAGCACTGAGGTGACCTATGTAGATTTTAAAAACCCACTGTCCCTTTCTATTTGTTTTTCAGGCTCTTGAGTTCATATTGAGAGAATAGTCTTACATCAAAAGAAGAAAAAGTGGTTCCGTCTTTGGGAGTGCCCTCTTCTTGTTCATCGCTGTGAGTGCCTGGGACTCGCTTCTGACTCAGTGGATCTACGGAACTTCCAGTATGTTTCCTGGAGCGGCGTAGTGCTGCTCTGCCTGGCAGAGGAGTCTCTGGTCTCGGCTTCAGGCTGCAGGAGCGACCATGGCAGCCTCCAGGCCGGCCTCACGGTCCCCTCGCGACATTGCCAATGTGATGCAGAGGCTCCAAGGTAAGGGCGACAAATGTCAGGGTCATTTCTTTTTTCAGTATGCTTTAAAGTTCAAACACCAACTTAACTCACAATCTTCACTTGCTTGCATTTTTATTCAGTTTTATGAAATGACAGAAAAATGATGTCTTTCATTGATGCGTTTTTGAACTAGCTCATGCTATTTTAAGATGCTGTCATCTTTTTGTCGAAAAAAGACAAAGACAAAGCCCTTTTTTTGGTTTGGTGTTGGCGATAGTGTGTCCTTAATGGTTATTCAGGATCCAGTTGGAAGTTTAGACTTACGGCCACGCTGTCCTTCAGTAACCAGTGACAGTACACCACTGTGACAGCGCCCTCATAAGGCTTTCGGGACCACAGCAGGCAGATGACTATATGCTATCGTCTCAGTGGTGTACTTATCCCGACTAGAAAGCCCGTGGAGATCTAGAAAGTCTTCAAGCAGAATGAGGCCGAACCTCAGAGGGGCAAAATGATGTGACAAGGGTAGTGGTTAACCACTGCATGCAGACTAGAACCGCATCTCTCACCAGTGTTCCTTCTCTAATAGCCAACTGTTTTGTAAAAGAGAAGTAACAGCTGAAATGTTATGGCAGCTCATAGCTGAATTCCTAATTGTGAATTTTCTTTAAACATGTATATTCCTTGAGCCATAAAAACCTTTATCTATAGGTATATGAGAATACTGCTTCTTTGTCACAGAGCTAATGCTACCTCTCCCAGACTTCAAATGTATACTTTTAGGATACAAAAAACAAACATGCAAGTTTAGGAAAGTTTTTCTCTCATTTTTATCAAAAGAACTTAAAAATATTGTTATAGGTTTTCTAGTATCTCCGGCAAGTGGTCATTGCAGTTTTGCACCACAGCCATCGTATTAACCTGTTTAAACCCCATGTTCCTTGCTCACAATGTATTTGGTCTGCATTCAGCAGTATTCCTAGTTAGACACTCTTGACTTTGAAGTACAGACCAGAATCTGTATTTCATGGCCCAGAACATGCTCCTAGCTGTAGAAAATCAGTTCAGTAGAACTGGGGGTTCTCCATGTCTGAGCAGAGACCGTCAGTTTGGCTAAAGCCCCTGCAGTCACGTGTCCCCGACTCATGTCTATGTGCCTGGTTGATTTTCAATGCTTAAGTGCAGGTGGTGCTTACTCACATTTACTGTTGAAAGATCTCATTGTCATTCCAGAAAAAGCCTGATTAGAGAACAGAACAGATCCTTGCTAAATGTGTGGGCATAGACCTCTTCCGTAGGCTGAAAAACCTTTAAACGGGTGGATGGAACTCTGAGCTTGGAGTTCCCTTCTTATGTCTACATCTGTCTTTGCTGTTTACTTGGGTGCAAATTATTGAATGATTTTATGCCTCATCTATGAAACAGTGGAAAGGAAACCCACAAATCCCGTACAAAAGTGTAGGAAGATAATTAGTCTATTAGGTGTGACTCTCCTTTGAGTCTGTCAAGTATGAAAATTCTCTAGATGAGATATATAATGACATTAAAGGGAAGTTCTAGAGCGTACATTTGAAAAAACTTAGTTCAGAATCAGATCATGTTCGCTCCAACATTTCACTCTTTATTCTTATTTTGGTTTGAATGCAAATTATTTGATTAGGGAAATGGTTAGGGTTGAGAGGAGAGAGAAGAATACTGATGCCTCAGTGTTTTCTTTTACTATTTTTGGTAGTGGAAATGTAAGTGTTTTTTCTTGAAGGATGTGTGGAGTCAGGGGAAGCATTGGAGCCTCCCACCCCCACCTCACACTAGACCTGGGACAGTGAATGTCTGTTTAACATGCATTTAGGGACCCCACTTGCAAAATGTGGACTGTTCTCACCTTGCTCAGCCCTCTTCAGGGTATAGTTAAGCTCAGTGAAATAATAGACAAAAGGTGCTTTAAAAACTGTAAATACTGTCATATGGTGAGCTGTTCAAATAGTCGTGAGAAGCCGTAGGCCTGATAATTTGTGGCAAATGTTTCTAGTCATGCAGATTTGGGAAAGAATATTAATGGTTTTATATATTTTGTGCTAGATAAAAACTAGTACTTTTATTATATAATGATGTGACTCTATGTGCTGTATAAATTATTTCTTCCTCTCTAGTAACAGAAAGACTTATGACATGTCATATGGGTACTTGGCAAATTTAGAACAATAAACCTTACAATTCAGGAGGAGATAGAATTCTTATGTGCTAAATATTTATCATTAGCTTCCAATTATTTCATATATATATGGGTTATTAATGGTGATAACTGTAAGGTCTGTACCACCGCAAGATGCAACACATCTGGCCAGCAGCAGTGGAAGCAAAATGAAATGGTTGGGAAGGAAGGTGAGGTGGTGTCTGTTATTGATCTGTGGGTTCATTGTGCTGATTCGGCCGGTGAGGTTCCCGCCGCTCCTGCATCTCAGTTGTCGCTGTGCATCCTGCCGATGCTTTGAGCCCAAACAAAGGTCAACTTCCCAGAACAGAGACCTGCACTCTGTCAAGGGTATTTAGTAATTCTTTTTTCCTGCCTCCAAGCAAACAAGGTCCTAATAAATGGAAGGCTGGCATTATTGCAGATGATCAAGACAAACAAGGGAATTTATTTGAGCAAAAATAAATTTCTATTAAATTAAATAGAACCAGAGTTGCTGTCTTCAAAGCTCAAATCCGTAAGAAGCTTCTTTTAGAATCCCCTTTTCTTTGCCTGGATAGATAATCTGAGCAACTGATTTTTTTTCCCTTCTTGGGTTTTATTGTCATATCAGATCAATATGTAACTAGGAAAAAGCACTCAGTTTTGAAGAATGACAACTTGGCTTTACTCTCTTGCTTATTTAGTTTATAACCATAATTATTGACTATTTTTCTACATTTAGTTCTGATTTCTAGTGCTAGGAAATTAGAGCACATGCACAGATTGCTACATAATTTAGCTGCTACTGTAGCAGTTCAATATTTCACCTTTGCCAATGTTTGTGCTGGTTGGAGCATAATGTTTTAGGCTGGGATCCTGAAATATGGATGAGCACACAGACTGCAAAACTGAATTTCATTTGCTCTTAAGAATAATAAATGTTTCTGTAAGTTTCATCAATTTAAATACAACCTTCAAAGAAAATACAGGACAACAGTGTAGTACAGGGGTAATAAAATTTTAAATGCTCATAATTACTATATGCATTTGTTGCTTTCAAAGGCTAACTAAGGAGATCTATTTTAACAGGTGGCTTATGGAATTGCTTTAATTTATAGTCACATCTAAAAAAATAAATATCTGAAATCTTCAGATGATGCATTATCTTTAAGACGGTGACAGTAATTTAAGACTCTATAAATTTCATGCTGCTACATAACATTTGTTTTAAAAAGGTTTGTTGAATGACTTTTATCAAGTACAGTTCTTTCACTTGAAGATAATCTATGAAATTTTAGGAATTTTTAAATGAACATGTCTGTCGATTATTGTGAGATACTATGGCATCATATGCAATCTTACAGAGCAAGTAGTAAATTCAGAGAAGATTCTAATGGGATATGCTAAGGGGTCATACGGAAATCTCTTTATAAAAGTAGGAGGATTTTTGACTGCAAAGTCAAATTTTTACTTTTAAACCTTGTGAGTAAATTGAAAGAAAAACAAATGCGAAAAGGGAAAATCATTTATTCTTGGAGATATATCTATGAAATTTACTAACTGTTCAGTGAAAAATGATTATGGCCTCTTCCTAAGATTGTTTTTAATGAGTAACCTTAGATTTTTTTGGAGTAACTATTTCCTAGAAATCCATTACACTGTAAAAGAAAACCTCAGACTAACAAAAAATGTTGACTGAAAAACAATATAATAGCAATAAGTAAATAATTAAGACATATTATCTTTTAGTTTAACATCAAATAAACATTGGGAAAGGAGTTTTCAATATTGTAAAGATTCCAATTTTTTTATAGTGCCTTGAGAGATTAAATTTTATACTTTATTACTTTGACTTACTAACTCTTCTCATTAAACCACAAAACATTGTAAGAATCCATTTATTGTATTTAGGTTGAAATTCTCCTTTAGATTTAATCTCTTTCTTCCTATAATGAATGTTGCAAGATAGTCTTTTGAATTTAAATTCTAAACATAGCTCAGCATAAAACAATGATCACTTATTTATATTTTGGAACATCATAGTTAAATAAATATTTGATGAATAAATGGATAAATAATGATCTCTAAATTAATGAAGATGAAATTAGTCAGGATATATGTAAAAGGAAAGGAGGAAACCAGTTAAATTGAATCTTACTTTATGTCCCCACTTTTAAAAGGATTGTTCTCTGAATTTTATTTTTAATCAAAATTGGCTTTGATTATATTTATGTTATATGTATCTATATTTAATCAAAATATCACTTTGAGGGCACATATCCAGCCTGAATGGGGGACTATATTGACTTCTCAGATGTGTGTGTTGTTTTTGTAACTATAATGCTTTAAACATATTTTTCCTTCCTGAAAGTATATTACATGTTCACTTTGCTTTTAAATGCATTGAAACCTTTACATTCTTATCACATACTACCTTCTAAGCCTTTCTGTTTGCAGAGCCATTTTATCCATGGTGTATTATGGAGAAAATTCCAGAGGCCTTCAGAATCTTCAAGGGCCTGCAAAAATATTGGCTCTCAAATAGAAAAAGAAAACTGTTCCGTCAACATTAACAGTGGTTTACAAATGTTAAAATTATGTCAACTATTCAAATGTAAATCAAGTCAATTCAAAAACTGTATATGTGGGAATTTATTTCCTACGAGGTGTAGGCACACTTATTGCTCTTGACATGATGTGTGGCAGGCCTCTAAATGTAACAGCATCTAAGGCGTACAAATGAAAAATAAAGCTTTCCTATACTTTGCCTCCAAATTAATTCCTTTTAATATAGCATTGCAGTTCTGTTACCCTCATAAAAATCTTCCTTAACTCCTTGGACTCCCTATTAAAGTCCCAACTTCTT